AGAGAGAGAGCCTCAGACACCCATACGGACTCTGTCCACAGGGCCACCATGAGTCGGAATGGGCTCAGTGACAGTGGGTTTGCTTCGGTTTCTGTGTTTAGAGGGTGGAGCTGAGAAGTCCACGAGGCCACGTAAGGATGATGAGCTGAGCTGCTCCCCAAAAGGCTGGTGGCTGGGCCCAGCCAGAGGCATCTCCAAAGAAAGGCCTGGCAGCCGACTGCTACACGTCAGCCGGTGAAAGCCCCGCGAGGCGCAGCTCTGCTCTGGGGTCTCCACTGAGCCAGGTTCAACCTGACGGCAACTGGTATTGGTGGTTGTGGACTGACATCAACTGAACCTGAAATGTCTTCATTGATCTCTATTAGGCAGATTAGACGTGGGTCAGGAAGTTAGTGAAATGCAGGTTAAATCCGGCGATCCTGAAACCAGGCTCTGATCCACACAGAGAAGTGTCCTGTAGCAGGCTCGAGAGCCAGACCAAGGGAAACGGTGGGCTGCAGTGGGTTTTGCTTGTGACACCGAACTTTGTTCAGAGAGAGGCTGCCAGTTCCAGCAGGGTTTCTCGGGGCCCTGGTTGCCTGTGACCTAGCTAGAGAGCAGGCGGGGTGCGGGGGCAGGGGGCCACGGCTTGCCCGACAGGAGACCGAGGCCTTCCCAGCCAGAGTCCCATCACTGGGACTCAGGGGACCCCTCCCTCGCTTGAGCAAGGGTCTGAACCCTGCCTGGCGGGGCACCAGTGCCAGGGGGAGTTGGGGAGGCAGTCCCGCTGCCTTCGTGCCAGACAGCTGTCCTCCTATTGATGTCACCAGCCCCACTGGAGCCTTACACAGATGAGGGGTCAGGGCTGGAGGAAGGGCAGTGTCCTGGGGAAAATTAGAGACTCCGGTGGAAAGAAATGGGCCCCTCACCAGTGCCCCAGCAGTCCTGCCAAATGCATACAGGCGAGGCAGGCCCCCACTTTCTTAGACCAGAGAGGTCATTTCAAGTCCCTTTGTCCACGGCTGTGCTCCTTTTCAGCCACGCCAGCGGTCACGTCTCATTCTGGTCCTCAGTTTCTCAGTCAGGACACCCCAGCCTCTGGCTGGCTCGGCCAGTGTTATCAAGCTTCTTCAGTGCCGACAAATGTCCAAGGGGTACCCCACTTGGCCAGCCAACCTCCTGCCCAAAGGCGCTCAGCTTCACTTGCTGAATGGACTGAGAATCCCGCCGCTCTGCCTCTTGGTCTCGGTACTGTGCCTCTGCTCTGCCACATGGTCTCGGGGCTGCCCACGCTCTGCTGGTGGCAAGGGAAGACACCTCCTGGGTCCCTAACGAGACCCAGCACTTCCAACCCTCTAAATGTCAAGTGAGCAGAGTTTGGTGGGATTTGCTTCCACTCAGAAAGAAGAGCCGGGAGCAGATTGCACCCTAGGAACCCGGGGTCCCTGTGC